TTCAGATGTGGCAGGAAATCGCTTCTGCTGCAGAAAGGCTGCAAGGATGCAAGGAGATCAATCACAAAGGTTTGAATGGAAGTCACCATTTAGAATGAGACGACACAGACACAGAGGACTTACAGAGGTTCTAATGATGACAACTAGCACTGTTTGCATAATGCTGTTTGTTATGCAATGAATGCAGTAGCTGAGTGCCAGAAGGAGGACAGAAACAGTAGAGTTGTAGAGGAATCTATAGACTAACACAACTTGGTTGTTTTAAATGATGACCCATGCCCTCATGGTTCTGGACAAATCAAACAGTATCATTATCTACTGACGTGACATTTGCATCAGCAGAACTGTTGGTAAATGGGATGTACTGCATCAAAATACAAGATTCTGTTAAAAAATGTCAGTATGGTCAGCTGCAGCTCAGGTTATACCACAGAAGAAACCCGTCCAAACAACTATTACGATCCCGCAGTAGGATCTGAAATGTAATCTCGCTGTGAAAGCACGAAACATGGAACCTGGTGCTAATCATGTTAGTTTAGCAGTTTCACAAGGTACACAGTAAAGAAAGGTAAGTGCAGAGAAAAGGAGGAGAGACTAGAGCAACAACAAGGAAACTCAGGTGCTATCAATGTGATCTTAATGTTAGATAAATAGAGCCATAACGAAAGGAAAAGACACATCTCCAGGCAGGGGTGGAAAAGGATTCCAGCTATTTAAACAGTCAGGAAAGCTACTCTTTAAAAAGTTGTTAGCTGTTTTTAATAATGTGTGGGGGAATGGGGGTCTTCCAAAAGAATGGAAACGTGCAATGATTATTCCTGTTGTAAAACCTGGAAAGGAGCCTAAGTCTAGCTTGTACAGGCCTATGACCCTCACCTCTTTAATATGCAAGACAATAGAGTGAATGTTAACGGATTAGTAAAGAATTTGGAAAAGTGGGTTTTTGTACTGCACCAGAGCGGTTTGAGGTGGGGTCACTCAGCTATGGGTGCAAGTAGAAGTCTTCTTAGATACTGAAAAAGCAAATGACCGGCTGTGGAAGGAGGGCTTGCTAACAACATGTCATGATGCTGGAGGAGAAAGAATGCTACATGGGATCCAGAATTTCTTATGTAACCGGGCAACACAAATGAGAGCTGGCAGTGAACTGTGTGAGGAGCTGGAGGTGGAAAATGGTACTGCTCAAGGAAGTGTCATTAGTCCTTCTCTGTTCAACGTTCTGCTGAATGACATGTTTAATCGGCTGGGAAAAGAGTTTGGTGTCTCTCTGCTTGCAGATGATGGTGCCGCCTGGAAACAGGGACGAAACCTCCCGTTTATTCTCTCTCAGATTCAGAGCATCCGAGCTTTGGAGGACGTGGTTACACGGGTTAATGATTCAGGCTTTAAAATATCTGTTGATAAAACTAAGTATGTGATATTTGGACATAAAAGGAAAGTAGCAACTAAATATCTGCAAGTATCAGGAAAGTACCTTGAGAGTCAAGCAGTTAAATTTTTGGAACGTGGTTGGATGAGAGAATGACTCGGAAAATATCTGCATAAGGTGTGAAAAGATCATTAATGTGTTTAA